ACTCCAGTGCCACTTTAAGATGCAGTACCAGCAACACCAGCTAAATGCTGGCTGCAAACATTTACTGGCGGACCACTCAAAAAACAACACCCGAAAAACAAAAAAATAAAATAAAATAAAAAGTCGTAATTATTGTTCTCTGCACCTTTTTCCTGTAACAGTGTCAGAGTCTGTCCCACTCATATATGTTAGTGGAAATTTGAGTGACTCATCTACTGTGCAGCTATCCATGCACAATTAGACAAATGCACATGCAAACATGCACAATCAGGAATTCTGCTCTATTTAATTCATCTGGATTGGATCTTGTAGCTCACATAATAGTACACCCTCAAAACCACCTCAATGTGTGACATGTGCAGCATTTCACAGTATCTGTCTGCCAACATCTCAAAAATGGAGCTCATACTGCAGATGTGCTGGATGTTGCCTAGATAAGACCAGAAATGTTGTTTGCTTTGACCTCTGTAAATACAAGGGGAAATTACAACCACAATTTTGGCCTTGGGCTTGAAAGATATCTGTCAAGCCTGAGAGGAAACCTATCATATTGTGATACTGTTGCTCGTCATTCTGCTGTATGTAATCATTTCCTCTTCAATGATTTTTTGTCTTTTCTGTTTAACATTTATGACAGCATATCATAAAATGTTTACACTGACTTATATCAGGTGCCAGAAATAATCAGTGATGTTCAAGATTGTTTTTTAAAGCGGGTTTCTTACATAAATTAAATTGAGCTAAACATCAAAGTTGCATACAGTCGTGAGCAAAAGTTTACATACACTTGTAAAGACCAAGTAGACCATGGCAGTCCTAAGTTTCCAGTTACTTAATTCTAGCTTCTCTGGGAATGCCTTGGGATCCCTCAGGAGGAGTTGGAAAGCATTGCTGGGGGGAGGGAAGTCTGGAATGACCTGCTCTGCACAAGTGGAAGAAATAGATGGATGGATGGATAATTGTAGCTTCATTCTGCTATTTCAGATCTTTGTTGAGCTCCCCAGACTTCCCCACTCTAATGCTTGTGGCTAATTCTGAGTGTATCAAATGGGCTCTATTTAAACTGGCTCAGAGGACTCACCAGCTGCAGTCAAATGTAATCATTCACGAGAAGTCGAAAGGACAAGCCACTAAGAAAATTTGTTTAACACAGTTTTCTACATCATCAAAACTGATTATTTAGATTGTATGTGTACTTTTGACCCAGACGATTTTGTCATGTTTCTAGAAAACCTATAATAAATCTGAAAAAAACCTAACTGCTTAATTGTCTAGTGCTTTGCTAAAGCACACGAGAAAGCTTATTAATCAGATTCTTTACATGGAAAATGAGACAGGCTCTTAATGTTAGAATTCCTCAGCAACGGTTGACATGTACATTAGTTATGTGTATTTGCAAGCACCATTGTTTAGGCAGGGCGATATTTTCACATTTTAAATTACACAAATGTTCGGCTCTCTTAAATCACCTGGAAAACAATCAATCAAATGGCTGCTCCATATAAAAGCTGCAATAACATCCAAGCTACAAAGTCCAAGGAACTCTTTGTAAAAAATTGTGGTGAGGCATTAGATCAGGACAAGGGTATAGGATCATTTCTAGAGCTTTGACTTTTCCTAGAACCACAGCGACACACATAAATGATGGTGTAATGACAGAGGTTTGGAACCACCATGACTCTTTTTAGAGTCGGGGCCTTCTAGACAATTGGAGTAGCACAAGAATGACCTTATTCACAGCAATTACCTAAAACCCATTTTTACAGCGCTTCAGAAGGGCTGTGCACAGATCGAAGAAGCTACTAAAAGGATGACCAAACTGGCAGCACTTCGTCAGTCAGGCCTTTACAGTAGAGCAGGTAGAAGGACGCCACTCTTGGTACAACTCAGAAGACAGCCTGTTTGGAGTTGAAGATGCAGGGGGTTGCACATGGGATGTAAAAGACTCTAAGAGCACGAGGTTAAAGATTGACTGGTGTGATGAAACAAAACTTGAAGTTTTTGTGCAGAACTCAGAGCACTATGTCTGGCAAACACCAAGCACTGTGCATCACCTGCTTACACCGTCTGTACCGTGAAGCATGGTGGTGGCAACATCATGCTATAGGGGGGATTCTCACCAGTAGGGACAGGGAGGCTTGTCAGAGCTGGGGGGAGGATGAATGAACCCAAATACAGAGAGGTCCTTGTAGAAAACCTACTCCACAGTGCAGCAACCTGAGACTGTGGCAACGAGTCATACTGCTGGAACAATAAACCAAATCGTACACCCTAGTGAGGATGGGCAATCCGGCCAAAAAACCAGTTGAAGATCTGTCGGGGTAGAATTATGATCCACAATCTGAATCACAAATCTCCCCCCAGATTTAGTTGAACTCATGTGATCACATGAGTATTTGTGCATATAGCTGTCTGGATACAAAACATATGGCTCAAAACTGCAGATGATACCTTCACACCATTCAGCTCATCACATAGGCCAGATGTGTGAACTTGCACTTCCTCTCATACTGAGCAGAGTTACCACTGCAACAACAATTATCAGTAGGATAAACGAGCCTGTCTCATTACAGGCTAACCCCATACCATGTTTCCTATTTGTGGGCAAACGATGCAACAGTTAGTGAAAGTTTGGGCATTAGGAAGGGCTGCCAGGCTATGAAGAACGGAATAAACTGCCCAAATTCTGGTGTCCAAAGCGTATACAGACGTGTCCATAAAGATTAGGAGATGAAACTGCTACCAGAGGGGCGTTTACAAAGCACTGAACAAAGGTTCTGAATGCTTTTGTAAATGAGAGATTTACATTTTTCTGTTTTAACCAATTTGCAAAAATTTCTTAAAACTTGACAACTGTATACCCTAAAAAAAAAAATCTAAATTGATCAGTTGTAAATACCAGCACAGAGAAAAATGGCATAAAACCTACCTGTTAGTGAGTGGCCCTATGAAGGGGTTGGTCAGGAGCTGCACAGTGGCCTTGGAAGCAAACAGCATTCCCACTTTGACATTTTCATTCAGCAGCTTGCTGGTGGACTGGGGACAGTCAGAGGAGTTCTGTGGTAGCGCTGCAGCAGCAGGGGTTGGAGGGACCAGCTCAGTAGACTTGGCTGTGGTGTTGGAGCCTGACAACCTGACAGTGTTGTCGTATAAGGACACAATGCTGTGGAAGGATCCGGGAGGATCCTGCTGTGACAGGGTGTTGTTCCTCAGCGCTACATCTGTTGACTCATCCAGGTTGTACAGGTAGCTGGGAATTATGGGAACTGGTGGGCATACAGAGGCAAGAGAAGACTGATGCAATGAAATATGACATGACCACTGACTGATGCTCATTGGCATGATGCTAATCCAGATGTCAGTGCAACGTATGTCAGCAGAGAAAAACAAAGGTTCTTCAAGGATGATTCACAAGCACTACCCTAAAGAAACCCCAACTAAGCCAAGGTTTCTGTAACCATTTTATGGTTCAGGGATGCAAATCAGTCAAACACGAAACAGAAAAACAACTATGCCACATTTCTCACTCTGCCGTCGTGGTATCTATTCATGCCAATAGCTTCAGGTACCATGCCACTGCTCAGTACAATGGGCCAATCAGTGATGTTTGTTTACTATCCAGACTAACTTGGTCATTGTTTATGGACTGTTTAAATGCCATTTTACAAGGCTATGATTACCAGAAAAGATATCCTGCACAATTCCTGTGTGAGGCTGCTGGAGTAGTCTCAGAGGTTCCAGCTAAATTGTGTAGTCATGTGTGTAACAAAAAAGCAGATTACATGTAGGTTGTTTTTATTTCCACTGGAGTAGCATTAAAGTAGTATTAGTAAGTAGTAGTATTAAAAAGTGTGTTACAGCCATCATTCAAGCTGCTCAATCACTAGTTCAGGAGAGAGCTGGCAATGAGGGTGGAAAGAAGAACATGCAACACATGTTCCAGACTGAATCAGGTTCAGTTTTAGAACCCAAACAGCTCAAGGGCCAACACACAGGTATTTTAATAGCTTAATGGAATTTTATTTAGAGTGTCAGGAGGGTGAGGGAGTAATATAGAACAGCATCTTAAAGCAGACAGACTGTACACTTATTGATAAGACAAAACAAAAAGGTGGATGCATGCAGACATTCGGTTTGCACATGTAATAAAACAAAAATATGAGGATTAAAAATAATTTTGAAAACATGTTGAATAAATAAATTAGGATATATGCTTTTTAAGTTAGATAAGATAGCGTAGAACCACGTCAATGTTCTATGGTAATAATTAATTATCATTAAAAAAACACAAAAGGAAACCCTGATGCAACACCTTTTTATGTAATATTTTAGTCTTCTACTGTAAAACCTAGCCTAAAACCTATCAATCATCACGTTTTTTCTTCCTTTTTTTTAAACTTCTGTGCAGCCTGTAGTGAAACATGCTACAGCTACCAGCTCTTTAAAATGCAGGTTTGAATCTTTGGTTTTAATACTGTATAATAAAGCTTGACATTCAACAACCAAACTGCTGGCTCTGACAGAAGAAGAAAATCTATACAAAAATAATAATCATCACAGTAAAGAAGAGTAGGTACTGTTGTTAACTTTTGTGTTTGAGAAAATGAATTAGACATCTTAATTATGATCCTTCTGTACATTGACTGTTGATGATGCCAAGTCCATAATAAATCTAATTAGTCCATAAGGATGTATCGCATCGTCATCCATGCAATGTCCAGTGGTCAGAATACCCAATCTTCTCTTAATTCTGCCCTAATTCAGCAACTGTGTGACTATAAAATTCATAAAATGAATTTTCAGTTGCTCCATCAGTCACAAAAGCGTTTATAGTCTGTTAAGCCAGCCGGACACAAGCTGCATGTCTGGGCACAGCAAAGACGAGTGCTGAACAGTGATATGTTATATGGACTATATAACACCGGGAAGACTCATTATATGACTGAGTAGCAGATGTAACATATTAAGACGTGTAGCATTACTGGTGTGAGGTTGTAAGAAAACAAATGAATTGTTGATACCGTACTCAGTCACTAAATCCTTTTTACACTGTAAAACAAAACCTATTCATTGTTAATCTTATAATTATTTAAATATACAGATCAGAAATGACTTAAAGTGTTTATGAATGGAGAAGCTGAA